ATGTTCACAAGGACCAAGAAAGAAATGACATATTTGATGATTGAACGTTAGAAACTTTAAGGAGCTAACCTGAAACCAATCCGTCAATTTTGACACTTGTCAAAGAGCTATAACTTTGAAAATATTAAAAGAGCTGATGATTCTTTTGATATTTAGTGAACTTATATTATGTGATTTGCTTCGATTGTGAGCCTAAAAGAATGACATTTTTTTATTTTTTTCAACAAATTTTCCATATTCTGAAAATAAAAAGAAAGAAAAATATTTTCAAACAGGACAATCTCTATAGAGAGTATATCTTGGAAATTGACAAAAGTCTCTCAGACTTAAAAGCTCAGAATTAGAAAACATGGGCAAAGGATTTGAATGTTAGGGAGTAAGAAGAATGAATTTTCGCAGAGAAATGCAACGGTACACTCGGTATGAAAACACAAATAAATCAAGAAGAGAATCAAGATTGCTTAAGCACCTTTTCACTGCTATTAATAAAAAAAATGCATCGACCTACACATACATGATTTTGCATCATTGTATCAAACATTCATTATCTTATGCAATAAAAACTTTGATTTTTCCCTCTTATGAGGATGCATTAAAATTTCTCTTGAAATATTGTCCTTCTTAAGGACATTTTTATCTCTTATGAGAATAAATTCAAATATTCATTTGTATTTCATAGGAATATTCAGTAGTTACATTCATATATACATTCTTTGCATCTTTTTCAGGAAATAATAAAATTAAAGACAACTAGACGTCTTCAACAAGAAGGAGCGATTATCTTCAGATTTAACATTTTCAAACAAATATGAAAAAAATTCTCACTTGAGATTGTTTTTCTTAAAATCAATTTCGTCTCGCTTGAGACAATTTGCCTTGAAACACAAATTTTAAAATTATTTCACTCGAAACAAGATTGATCTCACTTAAGATTGTTTTTTTCTTCTTAAAACCAATTTCATCTCGCTTGAGACAATTTCCCTTGAAACACAAATTTTGAAATTGTTTCACTCGAAACAAATATTAATTTCACTTGAGATTGTTTTTCTTAAAATAAATTTCATCTTGCTTGAGACAATTTCCCTCGAAACACAAATTTTGAGATTGTTTCATTCGAAAAAATTTATCTCACTTGAGATAGTTTCTTTTAAAATCAATTTCCTCTTTTTTGAGGCAGTTTCCCTTGAAACACAAATTTTGAAATTGTTTCACTCGAAACAAAAATTTATCATTTGAGATAGTTTTTCTTAAAATCAATTTTACTTGAGATAATTCCCCTTGGAACACATATTTTGAAATTATTTCACTTGAAACAAAAATCTATCTCTTCTGAGATAGCTTCTCGTGAAGCAAATTTCTTTTCACTCTTTCATCTTCACCCAAATGTTGAGATTTGACAAGAATTCCAAAGATTAGTAGAGATTGCACAATTCCATGTTGAAGAAGAATATTTTAGCAAATAATTAATCCACATCTTCATTTTTGAAAAAAAATGGATCTCAGCAAAGATTCGAGAACCTTCGGGTACTTCAAACATAATTATTACTGAAATATGATAATCTTTTTACAGATTCAAATCCATCACAGAAAGAGGTGGATCAATATTTCCAATAGAGGGATTCATAATAAGAAGAACTTGTCCGAGGAGGAAGAAGAAGTTCATAATGAGAATAATTTGTTCGACCTTTTACTTAAATCTATCACAGAATGAAGTGGGTTGTCATTTCCAATGGAGGGGTTCACAATGAGAAAAAATTGTCCGATGAGGAATAAGAAGTTCACAATGAGAATAACTTGTTTGACCTTTTACTCAAATCCATTACAGAAGGAGGTGGATCGTTATTTCCAATGGAGGGGTTCATAATGAGAAGAACTCATCCGAGGAGGAAGAAGAAGTTCATAATGAGAATAACTTGTTCGACCTTTTACTCAAATCCATCATAGAAGGAGGTGGGTCATCATTTTCAATAAAAGAGTTCATAATGAGAAGAGCTCATCCTAAGAAAAAGTTCATAATGAGAAGAACTTTGTTGTTTCCTTTCAAATCCATCACAGAATAAAGTGGATCAGCATTTCCAATGGAAAGTTCATAATGAGAAGAACTCGTCTGAAGAGTGAGAAGAAGTTCATAAAGAAGAGATTGTTCAACCTCAATAGTTGCCTTAAAAAGGAGTAAAGAGTTCGTAATGAAAAGAACTTGGAGCTCAAAGATTTCAGGTGGCCAAGCTGGATAAATTTGGTGCTTTATGTATTCACTACATTCTTGTTTCACAGCAATGAGCGAAGTGGGGCAACTGTAATCACCAATTTTATCCCCAAAAATATCATTACAGCCATACCCTTCCACCTCTACCCCGCTGCCCATATTGCAGCACCACCATGCCCTGTTACACCAACACTCCACGCTACACCAACAATCTACGCCACCAACATGCTCCTTATCACCAAACAAGCAAACAAAAATCATATTTGTAAATGGGACATTTAAAAAAAAGCTTGTAAACATGGGTTATAAAAACCCCAAAGTAACATATAATTTTTGTCTCCCCGATATTCGAATACAAGCATACTAAAGGTTTCTTTCTTCATTTCCAATTTTTTCCAGCAATTTATTGTTATTTTCGAAACAAATTAAGTAGAAAGGAAAGAAAGGGGTCGGTTACCTTAGGTGTTCAAGCTCCTCATCGGAGTTTCCTTCCATCACCGGGTTTAGTTCAACTTTGTAAGGGAGAGGGCTTCGATCTGTTTAGTTCATTAGGTTTGCTCTGTCGTCATGGTTAGTGGCTAAGAGAGAGAGACGGTCGATTTACGGCCATTAGAGGGGGCTTTGAGCTCCCGGTCGAGAGAGAAAAGGAAGATATGAGAAGAAAAGAGTTTAGGGGGCTTGGGGGAGTAAAAAAAATGAAATGGGTATTGTTTTTTAGGATTAGAAATCAATTAACAAAAAGGACTTGTTTTTCTTAATATGTTGCCCATGTTTTTTAGTTGGGGGATAATCATGCAAGTAGTCCCCAAGTTTGTTGGTATTTACTTTCGTCCCTTTTTCTTCACTAACTTTTAATCTGACCTCCTAACTTTATTTCTGTTTATTTTCATCCCTATATATGGTTATATGCTTTTATTTTTATTTTATTTTATTTTTGTTCCCTTTTTTGTTTTATTTATATTTCAATCTCTATTTTTAAGCAATTTGTATATTGGTACCTTTATTTTATGCAATTTTAATTTAAGCATTAATTTTATGCATTTACATTATTTTTATGTATTTATATTTCTATCCTTTTATTTTTGTTATTTATTTTTTGGTACTTTAATTTTTAGCCTTTACTTTTATGTCTTTATTTTTTATTATTTATATTCTAGCACTTAAATTTCTATATTTTATTATTCTAGTCTTTTACTATGGCAATTATACCGCAATATTTATATTTCAAGTATTTATTCTCTGTTTGAGTTTTGTTAAATTCCTCTATTTTAGTCCTTGATAGATCACTTGTTTTGTTATATTTAGTCCTTAAATTTAGACTCCTTTAAATTTGGTCCCAAAACTTTTAATTTAGGAGAATTCTTAATTTGGTTCTCGTTTTTGCTCGAGGTTCCGAATTAATTATTTGATTTGCATAATCGATTAAAATTAATTTAAGTTAATGTTAGAACCTATACTTTAGATAAAGGTTTTAATTTATCCCTTTAATTTAGGGAGTAATCTGAGTTGGCCCTCGCCTAAATGCTCAAGGGATCATGTCGATTATTCGATTTAATAACAAATTAAAATCAAATAGTATTAATATTAGAGCTTACATTTTTAGGTTTATGTCTCTAATTTCTTTAATTTTCATAATTTGACACTTTAAGTTAGTGAAAGCCTTAATCTACTCTTAGTTTAATTAGGGTTAATAATAAATTGTTTGATTGTATCATATTTTAAAACCTAAGGCAATGTTCACTTATTAAGGAGTCAATAGTATATCTCCTGATAGTATGCTCAGGGTGACTATTGTTGATTCCCGAAATAGGTCGACATCATTTTCAAGACTGCATCATGATTTCTAAAATATTAAGGTAATGTCCGGTTATTAGGCACAATAGCTTATCTCTCGCATTCATGTTAGGGGGCGAATGCTATTGGCTTTAATAAACGAATATCAATTTTCAACTTTGCATCCGTAATGATTTTTAAATTAAATAAAGTTCGAACTCAAAATCTTCAATTCTAAATATAGGATAATCAATTAGGTACCAATTTTTGGGCTTTGTAGGGGTGATAATCTTTCCCCACTCGTAACTGACTCTCGAACCTATTTTTTTATTTTCGTAGACCCTATACTTGGTATTTTGATAAAAATACAATTGTTTATTAAAATTATCTGATTTGTATGGTGTCATGATCGCATCTTAAAATGATTGACGGTGACTCCTCACATTTCAAAATATTTAAAAAAAAGTCATAAGTTGTATCAAGTTTTCCCGCTCGGACGAAAAATAGTGTCAACAGGCGTGTTGCTCCCATGGAGTCATTGCACTTTCGCTCTCTTCTTCCTCCTTCGGTTCTATGTTCACTCCCTTCCTCACTTCAACCATTTCCTATTGCACTCAAAATCCCTCTTAAAAATTAGAACCCTACCCTCTCTCTTACTAGATATTTGTATTTAAAATAAAATTAATATGAATATATACTTTAATATTGGGGGTGTCGTAATCAACTCATTCGATTAGAACTCTTCCTTTTGATGCGCATATTTCGTAGATCTCTAGATGGGTTGCCCCTTTGACACGGCTGGAGTGTGGGTTTGTTTTCTACAGCACGTCTTTGTTTATTCTCTCTCTCGGTTATTTGCAACGAAATTTCCACTATGTTATCTTCATAGATTATTTTAATCTATAAACAAGACTTGTTGACATAGCCAGCTAATCTAATTTGACAATGAGAACTAAAGTCAACCCTTTGTATATTTATGCCTGAATTGCTTATCCCGGATCATCAAAAGATTTGCATTTCAAGTTTTTCACCATTGCTGCGCTTGAAAATTGAAACAGTGAATGGCAGAGGCAGTTTTATTCAACATAGCTGATGAAGTCCTGGAAAAGCTAGGCAGACTTGCTCTCCAGGAAGCCGGATTGGCTTGTGGTGTCAAAGAACAGCTTGAGAAACTGAAAAACACAGTTTCCACCATCAGAGCTGTGCTTTTGGATGCAGATCAGGAGCAGCATGATGCCAAGAGCCATGAGGTTAGAGATTGGCTTGGAAAGCTTAAAGATGCAGTTTATGATGCAGATGACCTGTTAGATGATTTTTCAACTCATGTTTTGAAACGCCAAGTCCAGGGGAAAAGGGCAAAACAGGTCAGTTTTCTGTTCTCAAAAGTTAACCAAGTAGCTTACAATCTTAAGATAGGTCATCGAATCAATGCCATTAGGGAGAGATTAGATGCAATTGCTGAAGATAAAACCAAATACCACTTTACGGATCGATTGTCTACAAGCGTACCACTTGTGAAGGTTGAGAGGAAGCAGACACATTCTTTCGTCCGAAAGGAAGATGTAGTTGGGAGGCAAGGTGACAAAGATGCAATCATGAAAAGGTTGTTGGACGCAATAGATGGGGATAATGTTTCAGTAATTCCAATAGTTGGGATAGGGGGACAAGGGAAGACCACTCTAGCTCAACTTGTGTACAATGATGAGAGAACTGTGAAACATTTTGAGCTGAGGATCTGGGTTTGTGTTTCTGATGTTTTTTATGTGAAAACCATAGTTGAGAAGATTTTGGAGTCTGCTACTAATTCCAAGTTTGAAAATTTCGGGATGGATTCCTTGCAAACTCAGCTTCGGAGGAGAATCGATGGCCGAAAGTACTTACTTGTGTTAGATGATATGTGGAACGACAATCGAGAGAGGTGGCGGAATTTGGCGGATTTGTTGATGAATGGTGCAAGGGGGAGTAAGATAATTGTCACTACGCGTGCTCAACTGGTTGCCTCCATTACAGGCACAATCCCACCTTATATGTTGGAAGGTCTTCCAGACGACATGTCTTGGTCCTTGTTTGAAAAAGTGGCATTTAAAGAAGGCCAAGAGCCAAATGATTCAAGATTAGTAGCAATTGGGAAGGACATTGTCAAAAGATGTGCTGGTAATCCCCTCGCCATAAGGACCATTGGCGGCGTTCTATATACCAAAGATACTGAAACCGAGTGGCTATCTTTGAAAGAGAGGCAGCTGTTGACGATAACTCGAAATGAAGATGATGTATTATATGTACTGAAGTTGAGCTATGAACAACTGCCACCATATTTAAAACAGTGCTTTGCTTACTGTTCATTGTTCCCTAAGGACTACGAGATAAACAAGCAGATGCTGATCTTACTTTGGATTGCAGAAGGGTTTATACAATCATTTCAGGGAGTTCAATGCCTCGAGGAATTGGCGGACGAGTATTTCATGGATCTCCTAAGGCGGTCCTTTTTTCAAGACGTTGAATACGATGAATGGGGCAATGTAATAAGTTGCAAACTGCATGATCTCATGCATGACCTTGCTCAATTAGTTGCAGGGAGTGACAGCACCATGGTAGATCTGGATTGTAAAAACTTATGTGAAAGAACCCGCCATGTGTCATTCAATGCCGTGTTAGATTCATCCTGGAAAATCCCGCCCCCTTTGCTTAACATGAACAAAATACGGTCATTTCTTCTTCCCATTCAACCTGTTCATCGCGTGATTTTGGACAAGGTCGATCATGATACAATCATTTCAAGTTTGAGACGTTTGCGTGTATTGGATCTACACAATACCGGTCTTCGCATTCTGCCGAGTTCCATCAGTAAGTTGAAACATTTGAGGTATCTTGATCTCTCCAAGAATGAAGTCATCAAAAAACTCCCGAGTTCAATTACCGAGTTGCGTAATTTGCAGACACTGAAAATTTATTCTTGCAAGAGATTAGAAGAGCTTCCTAGAAAACTAAGAGACATGATCAGTCTTAAGCATCTCGAGACTGGTCAATGTACTGGTTTGACACATATGCCATCTGGGATCGGGCAGCTAACATCTCTTCAAACATTAACACGATTTGTAGTAGGCACGAACTCCATCGAAAGGAGCAGTGGAGGCCTAAGTGAACTAAAAGACCTAAATGAGCTGAGGGGAGAACTAATGATAGCAAAGCTGGAAAACTTGAGAAATGTTGCATCAGAATGCAAGGAAGCAAACTTGAATGGGAAACAACACCTTGAGGTGTTGACATTAGATTGGAGCCGAGAAGTTACGAATGTAAGTTCTGAAGAAGATAAAGCATTGTTGGAAGGTCTCCAGCCACATTTAAATCTTAAAGAGTTTCACATTTATGGATATAGAGCTGAAAGGTTCCCGAATTGGATGAGTTTCGACTTGTCACTGCTACTCCCGAACTTACTTGAAATCACTATATGGAATTGTACCAGATGCTTACATCTCCCATTGTTCAGTCATCTTCCCAAGCTTAAGGTACTCAGGCTTGAAGTGATAACTGCTGTTGGATACATTGAAGATAGCAGTGCTGAGTCGTCGTCTTCATCATTCGGGGGAAATTCGTTGAAAGGAGGAACAGAAGAAGGTAAAGATTTCTTCCCTTGCCTAGAGGAATTAGTGCTTTTTGATTTGCGAAATCTGAAGGGATGGCGGAGGGAAGACCCTGCAGTTATGGATGATAACCATGGCAAAACAGCAGCGGCAGCATCACGACAAAGGCCATTGCAGCAGAAGGAACCAATGCCTTCATTCCCTTGTCTTTCGAAATTGAAAATTGGGATTTGCACCAACCTGACACATATGCCTTTGCATCCTTTTCTGGAAGAACTGGAGCTAAAGAACGTGCCTGCCAAGCTTTTACAACAGTCGGCAATGGCAGCAGCAGGAGGGAATTCGGGTTATCTTTTTTATCTTTCCAAGCTGAAGGCTATGCATATTGATGGTATCATAAATTTGGTGTCATTTCCAGAGAAGGGGCTTCATCATCTCACATCTCTTCAGCATTTGTCCATACAAAACTGTCCTCATCTAGCTTGCCTTACCCAGGAAAGTATGGAGAGTTTAAAATCTCTCCGGTTTTTTGACATCCGTTGTTGTGAAATGCTCAAGTCACTTTTCAAAGAGTTTAAGCATCTAACAGCCCTTGAAGAGCTCGAAATCAAAGAGTGCCGAGAGCTCGATCTATCAAAAGATGTGGAAGAGAATGCTGTGGAGCTGCAAGGCCTCGAGAGCCTCCGCACGTTGAAAATCGGTGACATGCCGAAACTAACGTCTCTGCCTGCTGATCTGCAGCATGTCACAACACTCACGTACTTACAGATCTCGAACTGTTCGAATCTGAAGGAGTTACCAGAATGGATCGACAATCTGACTTCACTTCAAAGATTTGAAATCCTCGACTGTCCTCAGCTAGCATCATTCCCAGAAACATTTGGCTCTCTGGAAGCATTAGAGTACCTGGAAATTTCGAGCTGTTCCAAGTTATTCGATACAGGCCAAATCAAGACAAGCAAAAATTGGACAATGATTGCTCACATCCCCGAGATTTTCATTGAGGGGAAGAAAATGTGACCTCAACTCATATTATACATGTTTTCTGTAAGGATTTTTGTTCTTTTTTTGAGTCTTGAGAAGATTTGTATTTCTTCTTTAAATTAGTCTAGATAGCTGCTTTAACACGGTTAATATCGACCTGTGTAGGTTGATGCTGTTTTCCGCCTTGATATTATTGAATATTAGTATAGGCTTAATTATATGATATAATTATAAAATTATAAATGGTATTAAAGATGGTATTAAATATATAAACATGTTGAACCTATCAAATGGTTTAAGCGGTAAAAAGTAGGCGTGTACAAATCAGGATACCCGGAACTTCCGGGTCGACGATTTCTCTGCCCGTGTCCCGACCTGGATGTTACGGGTACCCGGTAATCGGGTATCCGGATTTTGCAGGTACCCGGTAATCGGGTACCCGATACCCGGTTTTTAATTTTTTATTTTCAAATTATTAATTTAAAAAAATATATACACAAATTTAAATATTCGAAACTTCAAATTACATACTCTAATATCCGAACATAAAATTTAAAAGTTCAAAATACAAAATATAATAATCCATAATATAAATAATTCATTATATTTTATATAATTATATATAAAAAATAAAAAAAATAAAAAAACTAACCGGGTACTCGGTACCCGGAAAAACTAGATTTTGTGACCGGGCCCGACCCGAGAAATATCGGGCCGGGTACCCGACCCGATCGGGTAATTTTTTTTTAGATAATTACCCGGTTTTTTTAGATCTGGGTCGGCGGGTCGGGTCGGGTAATTTTGCACACCCCTAATAAAAAGGGAATTTTGATCCTTTAAAAGTTTTGAGTTCGAGGATCGGTGCTTGTAAACTCTATATATATTATCAATAGGTTAAGAAAATTTTAAATATATATTGCCTTATACAATTTAAACATTTTTTTAATATTTTTATTTAATTTTTTAATTAAAAGAATTTATTAATTAAATTCATTGATGATGATAATTGAAGGTAGATGAATATGAATAGAGTGGAGTACGTGATCACTGAGGATGGCAGTGGTTGATCAACCTTTAAGTAAATGGGTCAAATTGAAGACTTAAAATTAAAAAATTTCATTTTATCCATTAGGTACCTATCACGTGTAAGTAAATAAAAATAATATTAAAATATTAAGCACTAATTTATTAAAATTGAAATTTAATTAAATGAAGTGTAAAAGTTGATGACTATTTATTATTATGTTAATTCTAAATTACTCTTAATAATTTTCTGAGAAAAAATAATTAATTATTGTTTTTTAAATCGAATCATAGTAATTTTTTTATAACTGAAAGAAGTAAAAACAAATATCCTAATGCTGTGGGACTATTTGTGTATTTTAACATATACTATTGGAAAGGAAAAACAACCAATGGTATATTGAGAATAAATTTATTCTAATTGAAAATTTTGATTAAAATATTTGGACAATAAGTTGTGTTTAGTATTTAATAATTTATTAATGCAGATATAAAATAGTTATATGGTAAACTACATATTTAGTATCTTATTTACTTGTATTAGAAAGGGTAAATTACACATTCAGTATTTAAATTATCAGTTTTGATCTGTTTTAGTACCTAAACTTTTATTTTTTTTCAAAATCATACCTAAAGTTTAGTTTTTATTTCATTTTAGTACTCGGGCGTTAAGCTTTGAAGAAAAATGGAAGTCTAGGTACCAAAACATATTTAGTACCTAAATCATAATTAGGTTTTGAAAAAAAATGTAAATTTAGGTATTAAAACGGATCAAAACTGATAGTTTAGGTACTAAACGCGTTAAGTTTTTAATGAAGGGTATTAAAATGAAACAAAAAATAAAATTTAGGTATGGTTTTGAAAAAATTGAAAGTTTAGGTACTAAAACAAACCAAAACTGATAATTTAAGTACTAAATGCATAATTTACCCTTAAAAATTAACAGAACTGATGACGTGATATTTTTTAAAAATAATTTTCAATGATAATATAACATTATCTTATGGTGACACATAAATATTCCCATTAGTTTTTTTAACAATATATGACCAAAATGAAACTAAAATGTAATGTTTAAGTATGATTTCGGAATAAAAAATAGTTAATAACCAAGAATGAACAGTAGTGATAGCTGGGATACTAAACAGATAGTTTACTCATAGTTATAACTGAGATTACATTTAGAATAAAAGAAAATAAAATAAATGTTAAGTGGAGTAAGCGGTGAGGGTGGGGGGGCCCTTAGCCAAGTTTCACGTTTCTCTCTCTTAAATCTCCTCCGAATGAAATCAGTCAAAACAAATAAAAAAAGAAGAATGAAATCAGGGTCGTTGTCCGTTAATGGCGTCCCCGCGAGCATTACCGAGGTTTCACAGACGACGGTGTCCTCCATCTCCTACGGCGGTTTCAGCTCGCTCTCCCCGTCTGCTTCCTACCCGTGACTCCTCTTCTCTCACCGGCGGCGTGTCTCCCCCCAAAGCTTCGATGCTCATCCGCCGAGCTGCTTTCCTTTTCACGCTCCTCACTCTTTCCGTTTTGATGCTTTTCACTGTTACTGATTCCGTCCGCTTCCTACGTTTCCCCTCCGCTTCCCATTTCGTTCCCATTTTCCCTTCCTATCTCAATTACGTTCCTTCTCCGGTTTGTTCTCTTCTCCTTTTTCTTTCTATTTTTATTGCATGCATAATTCACTGTTGGAAAATGGTTTCTTGGTTATTAAACTATTCAACGCATTGGTTTAAATTAAGAATCCAGTATTCCAGTTGACTTATTCGTTTTAAAATGTTCCAGTATGATTGATAGAGCTAGTGCTTAGTATAGACTAAGGATTCTATTATAATTTTCCGGCAGTGGAACTTCTTAGAAGTTTATGTGGGCTTGTTGGCATGTAGATTCTTCTTTGTGTTTACGTAATTTGAGATATTGATAATTTGTATATTTGTGTTTAGTGCTCTGTAGTGAAATTTACTCAAACAGCTTGAACAACTAAGCTTTTATCTATTTAACAAATATCATATGTGCTAAAGTTAAGGTTAAAGATACCCGTATAGGATGATGAGATGTTAACTATTGTGTTTAGCTGCTAATGCAATCCCAGGAATAACCCTGAATATTTTTCACATTTAAAGTTGTTTACCTGCAGGACCCAATGCAACATCTTGAAGAAACTTTGAGGAATGCTTCTATGGGGAATAAGACTGTTATTTTAACAACATTGAATGATGCCTGGGCAAGTACCAATTCGATTGTTGACCTTTTCCTCGAGAGTTTTATTCTTGGAGAGGGCACACATTGGCTTTTGAACCATTTGGTGATTATTGCCTTGGATGAAAAGGCATATAATCGCTGTCAAGTTATACATAAGCATTGCTTTTCTCTTGTCACCGAGGATGTTGATTTTCAAGAGGAAGCATTCTTTATGACCCCTAACTACTTGAAGATGATGTGGAGAAGGATTGATTTCCTGCGTTCTGTGCTCGAGTTGGGTTATAGTTTTGTTTTCACGGTATTGTCTTTTCTCTATTTTGGAAACTTAATGTCATTAGTTTGACCATGTTTGTCCAATTTGTGGTTGACATGACTGTTTTTGTTTTAGAATTGATGATCTTTCCTACTTTTGTAGCTTGATATCTAACTGAGATCCATTGTTATTATAGTGCATAGTATCTTTTCTCAAACACATTCAATGAATACAAGAAGCTAGATTCAGTTTCTGAAAACAAATTGCTTTTAAAATTTGTTAAGTAGTTTAAGAAGTATTAGACGCTTTTGATGTTCAAATAGTAAGAAGAAAACCTGTTTTGCTAAGGGATGCCATCATATGAGCTTGTGGACAATGCTGCAGCCTTACTGACTGCACGAAATGCATAATGAAAAATATAAAAAATAACAGATATGGAAGTTCCTAGAGCCATAAATAATATATCAGAACCTCCTATAGTTTCCTTTAGAGCTACAAAATGGAGAGACCTTTTGTCCGAGAATAATCTTTCTGCTGAAAGACTAGTCTTGTGTTACAGTTTTTGAAGAACACATTTTACTCTCTGTATAAAATAATAAATCAAATATAAATCTTAGGACCCTGTTAATTTTGTAGATTATTGGTTAGAATGTCAAAGCAGGACTATGGCCTATGTCTTCTTGACCCAATACTGGTATGGATATGTAGTGAGTATTAACAATATTTTTTCATTATTGTTTTGCACTGATAAGAGTGTTATACTCCCTTTTTTTTTTTTTTTTTTTTTTTTGCAAAGGTTCATTCTACTGTGCTGTGCCCAGTCTGTTTTGAAATGTATGACTATTTACTTTAGTAGAAATAGACTAGCTTAAGATACATTCTCGCCTAACATGTTAATACACAAAGGGGGAAGGATAGCAGAGATTGTTAGGTGGCTAACTGGCTACAATCATTACCCCTTAGATGCAGTTTTGTCTTTGATGTTCTTAGCTTTTCTCAGTTATATTTATGGATCTTATCCAAATCTAATGAAACTTGTGAAAATTGCTTATTTTCTTATCTGCATTTTTTAATGCCTTTTTCATTGGTTAATCTCTAGGACGTTGATATCATGTGGTTTAGGGATCCATTTCCACGGTTCTTTCCAGATGCTGATTTCCAGATTGCATGTGACCATTTTTTAGGCAGTCCAGATGATCTGAGTAACATGCCCAACGGGGGCTTTAACTATGTAAAGTCTAATAATCGGTCAATAGCATTCTACAAATTCTGGTATGATTCACATGAAACTTATCCCGGATATCATGACCAGGATGTTCTCAATAGGATCAAGCTTGATCCTTTCATCTCAGATATTGGGCTGAAGATTAGATTTTTGGATACTGCTTATTTTGGTGGTCTTTGTGAACGTAGTAAAGATTTGAATTTAGTATGCACAATGCATGCGAATTGCTGTTATGGTATGGATAGCAAGCTTCATGATCTCAAAATTATGCTACAAGATTGGAGAGCTTTCATGTCATTGCCACCAGATCTGAAGAATGAATCTGTTATCTCCTGGAGAGTTCCCCAGAACTGCAGGTACTCTTGTGATATATATCTTGTCAACTCTTTCCCCCCCCCCCTATCATACCATGGCATTTGTAAGTTCATATAATGTGGAACCTTTCCCTCAAAATGGTTTCCTCTTTTCTTTTAACTGTGTTACAGTCTCGATTCTTTACGCCATTTTGATTCACCGCCTTCAGAGGCGATTGTTGAACAAGAAGAAGAACAAGAGGACGAAAATTGATTGGAATTGTACGTATCTTTAAATCATTTATCGTCGAAAGACATCGAGATGGTAAGCTTTCTTCTTTCTTCTTTCTTTTTGTGTCTGTGATTCTTCTCAGTTACACACGAGTTTGATGATAGTGACCTTATACTTCCCAGTCGTTTTCATTAGTTAGCATATCAGAAACACTAGCACTTTATCTACTTGTTTACAGTTACTGGATTTTGGTTTCTAGAGTCCAATAATGTCATGTAGTCCTTTTCTTTTTATACAAGGATATTGGAATTCGTCATTTTCTTCAATACTATTGTTGTGACACTTCAAATCTGGGCTGAGAATCCGATCAAATCTAAAATATCATATTGATCACTGAAACGATCTAAGACCATTTTACAACATGCAAGCTCACAAAGACATCAATTAAACTTTATTTTTTTTAAACAAAGAGATATTACATTTTCAAGGCAAATGTTAAGATTCGAACCCATATAAGATAGCATAAACATTCTTGATCACTTGATTACTGAATGGATCTCAATCAAAATTCACTCTAATTTGCTCTGATAGTTTCTGGGTCCAAATCGGCTTTAAACGAGGAATTGTAATTCAATTTTACAAAAGCAGGGCTCTAATATTAATACATAGTTACGAGTATCGATTCTCAATCTGAAAAAGGATGATTGACTGAGAAATAAATTTATAAATTTTACCCAAGATTAATAAAAAAAATTATAAATTTATTTCAAATATATATATATATATATATATATATATATATATATATATATATATATGGCAAAAATGCCCAAATAATATGGTAAAAAAAATAATTGTCTGGTCTGGTCTAGAATGCATGAGGAATTATTTTCTCAAGGGATGAAATGGACAATGTCATCTTGAAGATGCGGTACAGTACGTCTTCAGTTTTTTTTTCAAAAAAGACGTATGAACTATAATGTATCTTCAGTTTTAACCAAGTAGACGTATGGACGAGATAAAGACAAGAGTGAACGGGAAGATATATTGTGATCCATATGTCTTCTCTAATAAAGCTGAAGATACGTTATGCTCCATGTGTTTTCCACGGGGTATTATACAAATCACTCTAATTCAACAAATAAACTTTTGATTCCTCACCCAACCGATTTTAGTAATTATGTCATTGTGTGTTCAATTTTTTTATTGGTAGATGTGATAAAACAAGCATCAACCAATTTACCTTAAAGGTTAAATGAATTAATGTTGTTTTTAGATGTCATGAGTTCAAGCACTAACAATTGTAAAATTGATGAGGTGTTTATTATTATCAAATACTTAGGAGTATTTAGAATAAATATTATTTTGTAATCACTTTATTTTAATAAAACAATTTGAGAAAACAATAAAAAGATGCAGTTACTGTTCATTTAGAATTTTACTGTTAGATTAAATTAGATAATGAAAAAAATATAAGATGATAAACTAATAAAATAAATATGTAAATTTACTTTTAAAACAAAATTATTTTTATTTTTGGGTATATAAATGAGCCTCTCCCTTTAAACTCCCATCCGGGGTTTCTTTTGTGTTTTGGAGAAGACAAAACATTCCCTTTCTTTTCAATTCAGTTTTAACCAAAAATCAAGAGATATTATGTTTTTCTTTTAACGTATTCTATTATCATTTTCTATAATATGATTAGTAAACATTATTCATTAATTCACCATTTTCTAAAATATAAAGAACTATAACTCACTGAGTGGTTAAAGGGAATATTTTTTTTCTTTAAGTATTGAGTTCGAGTAATTGCATCTGTAGGATATATATTGTCAATGATTAAAAAAGATTATGAACATATATTACCCTATAATCAAAACCAAACTATTCAAAAAGAAAAACCTCGACGCCTAGCCTTCATTTTCCGCAATCAACCACTTGCAAAGCCCTTTCAGAGTAATTGATATGCAATCCATTCACCTTTGAACTCTTTACAATTTAATCTTTAAAGCTTTTTCCATCTTAGTCACTTTTTTAAAAGAATTTATAATTCTTATTCAATTCATTTTGGTCATTTATTAATATTAATATTAATATTAATTATTATCAAAATTATTCATTTAATGAAATTTCAATTAAATTATTAAAATTAGTAAATTCCAAATATTTTTTTTCGATTATCGATGTTGAATAATATGTATGTTCTGCGGAGCAGTTTTGACATAGGAAGGAGGAGAGAGAATGTTAAATTGATATTAGTTGGATCATCCCATTAGTCTCAACAATTGGCCCAAACCGATATGAGGCCTACGTTACTCTCAAAACCAATTTTATGTTTTGCTAAACCCTAATTAAGACAAATAGTACATATTATGTGGTTTGATAATGACCACAAATTTGGAACTCTTCTTTGTTTCATTTATTGGTAAGTTTGAGAAAATATGTAGTTCGCTTAATTTAAAAAAATGAGTTTTTAAATTATATATTTTTATTTTAAGTGTATAAAATTTCTTTTATTTAAAATAATAGGTTAACATTTCTAACATTGACATTTTAAGTGTCAGCCCATCTCAATCATTAAAAAAACTCATCAACCATTCAAAATGTAACATGTGTTGTGTTTATAAAATTTTAAAATATTATTTTTTTAAAAATAAAATCATTATTGTTAGAAACCCCAAATTTTATTAAAATATAAAAAATCCTAAAAATATGTAAATCCAAAATGAAAACTTCTTCATCGGTTACCCCTGTCGATTGTCTATTCACCGATCACCGGACTCTACTGCCAATCGACCCTTCATCGTTACCCCTAAATCTTTAAATTTAAAATCCGTAAATCCTTTTTCAATCCCCTAAATCCCTTTAAATATCCACGACCTTGCAGTCTCCATTCAATCTCCATAGTAATTAGAGGAACATTCCATGAAAAATGGAGGAACATTGAATCTGCTCACTTTGGTGGCTACAGTAGAGTGGAGAGCGGTTAAGATGATGTGAGGGTGGAATTTTAGAGTAATTGCAACCCCTAGACCCAGTATATATGTTACGACTAGATCTAACGGATTACATTAACGATCTTAAAATAACTTAAATCATAGTAATATTAAATAAGTTAGAACAAATAATATAAGCCATAAAACATTAAGTGTATAACAAAATATGGAATGTCGAAAGTAAACCATAAACCCAATATCCCAATAACCCATACATCAGTAGTAAATCAAAATACGACATGAATCATGTATCACAAAATAAAACAGGCACATGTCACCAAGTAAGGGCAATTTTGAAATATAGAAACATGACGACAAAAATTATTGTAGGTGATGTGTAGATCCTCCAAGTGCCAAGTTAGATGTGTTTATCCAAATGTATCTGAAAGGGGAAAAGTTTGGAGAGTGAGCTAGTGAGCTTAGTGTGTCCCAATAGTGCATATAAAACGTTGGATTAAAGTATTCAGAAAATGATTCAGTAACGTAGCATAAGACATTCAATGAGATGTTATAGTTTAAAATTCATATTTACCCTTGTCCTGTACACTGAAATGTAGTCCCCTAGAATTGCATCCATAAGGACTTACCCTATACCCATTGAGTATAGAAGCCAACCTAAGGGAGCACCTTGGGGCCTAAGAGCCTACCCAAGAAAGTTCTCGGGGCCTCGGAGCCTACCTAAGGGTCGCCTTAGGTCCGTAAGGAATTATCAGCTTGATCAGAGTTGAACCTCCATACTCTAGTATCCGACCCAAAATATTATATCAATAAAACAATTCACACAGTAAGCAGTGAATTCCATGATCCATAATCGACATAATCATATTTCCAGTGAAAACAAGTAACCATATTGCATATATCAAAGAACCATAGTTCATAAACAATCAACCAGTAAAACAATAAATCAGTAAATCATAACGGCGAGCTGATAAAAGATTCAATAATTTTGAAAAATCACATTTCAAAACAGATAAAACGATCATATACACAAGGAACATACCTAGCAAATGGATTAGTCAACAATCTACTAAGCACCTGCCTTGCCATGCTCTGAAGAGTGCTCGAACCTAATTCATAAGTAACTGAGTTAATATTGAAGTGAAATTTTAATCTAGGTATTCATAAGGTTCACGGGTCATAAGAGTAATTACTATCTCACGAGCTCAAACTGCTTGAGAGGAGCTATGTCGAGCTGTCGAACGGTCAAGAAAGTCTCGAGTACCTTTAAAATAACAATATCTTAGATCAGTTATTAACCTTAATTTAATTATTCTTAAATGAAATACTTAAGTACATATGCATGCTCGGGTTTGACGGTCAATTCGGAGGCTTTCGGGTTAAAATTTGACAAAACCAACTTTGGATTCAGACTCAAGAAGTTGAAAAACATAAAATATGATTTTTCGAAAAAATTTGACTTTCTGTCAAAGTCAAAGTTAATGTTGATCAAAGTCAAAGTCAACTCTAGTCAACAACCATTCAAAGTCAATGAGTTGACTCTGTTCGAGTTGACTCAACGAGTTAACTCAGTTAGTTGACTAAGCTCGACCGGTTCGGTCTGATTGGACCGGTTCCAGAAGAGTCCTGGACTGGCGGAGGAGCCCCACGAACACTACCGGCGTGTGGTGGTGCGTGTGGCAGCAACGAGTGTCGTTTTAGACGGTCGATTATCCCCGGTTCATCTACACACTCGAATTAACCAATATCAATCCCAAAACAATTTGCCAAAATCACTTAAAACTTAAATCCGAGCTTACCCACGTCGGTGACGAAGAAAATAGAGGCAAAGCTATGATCCAAGGGATGGATTTTGAGCGGACATCGATGAGGAGTCCAACTATGCGGCGGTGAAGCAAACAGATGACGGTGGCTGCTAAAAATCGAAATTAACCAAGGCTACTGGGGGGTTCGACAGAACTTCAATGACTTCTCCACGGCAATCGACGACACCTTTCAACAGTCGGTTAGAGGGGTTTTGTTCGTCGGACGGCGGCGAGTCATATGAGGGTAGTGGCGGGCTAAACGGTAGCCAGACAACGAGATATATTGGTGAGGACAGTGAGCGGGGACTAGGGATTTAGGGGGAAATTAGGGATTTGGCTCGGTTTAAAACTAAAATGAGGATGGCTTTTTGGGGTTATACTCGAGTCTTAATCTATAAAATATATATTTAATAAAAAAATCATAAATAATGCTTTAAACTAATGGCTAAGGCATGGGTGACCATACTTGGGAACATGGTTTCAAAATCCCTCAACCACCTAATCTATATTTATTTTTTCTCTATAGTCAAGAAAAGGAAAAATT